AGGCTACCTTAAATGCTCTCCCCTGATAATGAGATTAATGACTGACTTATATGCCATCCTATAGCCTTCATCCAGCAGCTGGTGGAAGTAGAAGTAGACACCCACAACTAATCACTGCACTGAACTGGAACCCAGATGCAGAGAAAGACAAGTGAAGAGCAAAGGGGTCCAGACCAGGCTGGTAAACCCACAGAAACAGTTGACCTGAACATCAGGGAGCTCTTGCTCCCCAGACTGATAACTGGAATACCAGCATGGGACTGATCCATTTCAGTGAGGAAACCTCGGAAATCTACGGGACCTCCTGTAGAAGTTCAGTACTTATTCGTAGCATAGGTGTGGACATTGGGAGCCCATTCCATATAGAGGAATACTCCCTGAGCCGAGACACACGGGGGTGGGCCTAGGCCCTCTCCCAAAGGATACGATAGACTCTGATGACGGGGGGGAGAAGAAAGGATAGGTGATAGATGGGGTTTTAGTGGGGGGGGGGTGGTGGTAGGGAAGGACGGGAAGGAGAGGGAACTGGGATTATCTTGTAAACTAATTCAAATTTTAAAAAGTTTTAAAAATGATTAAAAAAGGTAATAACTGCATTTGGACTTGTTTCCCTTTAAGCAAATAAAGGTCAAAATATTACGTGTGGTAAATGCTAAGGGTCCCAAATATTGAACCAGAATTAAAATCAGATTACAATTTGCTACTGACACACTCAGGAATGTCAGCTATAATATTTTCATAAGTTCTTATTGTATTAATGAATGCTTTGAAAATGGAAAAACTGATTATGATCTTATGCTGTTAGCCAATATTTTATTACTTAAAATATAGCAATTATTTAAAAATGTTTATATAATGGGATACAAATGTTCAGAAAAGTAATCTTCAAGGTATGTCCCCAAACAAGCTGACTAGTCACCTGCTTCAGCTTCGATCACTACTGTTTCTTTGATCACCACTGCTTCTTCAGAGCAACAACAGCATAGCATCTGGGACAATTCACAGGGTCAAACAACTTCACAAGAGCAGACCACACTACATCTTCCTGAAAATTGATAAAGAATTTATATATGAGTGAGTACACATCATGTTTTGGACCTATTCATTTTGTTTCGTGCTATTTTATTTCACTATTTGCCCAGGTCAATGGAATTTTTTTTGCGAAGGAAATAATTTAAATAGGTAGTGTATCATCCCCCAATTTGAGAATCAAGGCTTTGTAGGGATTTGGAATTAAATGGTGGCTAAGGGAAGTATATTATTGAAATACTTAAAAATGGCCTTAATTTGTAATTAAAATACATTTATTAAAATCCATTTATTTAAAGGCTTTTGGAAAGAAAAAGCACTAGGTGTCCAAATAAAGTTATTAAAATAAAGGATTAATAGTGGGCAATAAGTTTATTCTATGAAGGTGATTATACAGTTCAAAACAATTTATTGACCACAGATTAGTAGACCACATAACACAGACAAAATGATAAGGTTGTGAGAGAGAAGAAATTCTCCTCACTGATTAGAAAGACATTTCCACATCACAGAACATGCATATCCAAAACACATTAAAGAATCAAGTCTTACAAAGTGAAATGTGTACACAGGATCGTCTATGACTGGCCACAATTAATTTTGGCTTGAAAACCATATATGATTAGTTGTATTCACTGTCTATGAATATTAACTATCACACAATTTTAAAAATCAAGTTTATTACTGCAATTTTGAAGACATCTGCTGTACATATGTTAAGCAGGAAATAGAGTGAATATTAAAAGTAATAGAGTATGAGAGGTATTATCTTTGTTTAAATTTATCCCTTCACATCCTTCGTTGCCTGTATTCACACACAGAAACCAGAATTAATGAATCTTAATTATCTGTAGGTTTACTTGAACATCAACATTGAGTAAATTGAAGTAAGACCTTTAGATTCCAAATGCTCCAAACACTTTTATGGCAAAGGATATGGGACATAAAGCTTCACTGTGACAGTTATAAAGGGTGGTCCCTTGTGCACAGTATCCCCACTGGACTTCATCCCTTTAAAACAGTATACTACTATGCATACGCCATCTGGTTGACCCACAAACAAACAGATGCTATGTACACTCTTTATCAACAGCTCTAGTCACCTGAAGAACCACTGGTGAAGAGCACTGTGCAGTGAGGGAACTGGGAGAGATATTATCTTACTAGTTTGTGTGAACTAACTTTATCCCAGCTATCTGATTTTACTTATTTTATTCCACCTAATAAAGATATTTGTTATGCACTGAAAATAGCATAATACCTGTTCCTTCAGGTAACAAAGTCGGTCAAGAAGAATCAGTGTTTCTATGCAAGGAGCCAGAACAACATTCAACTGGAAGAAAACAAAAGCTAGTGGTACTTTAATAGTTTATTTGCTATAACGTTTATGTTTGAGAAACTGTGTCTATAAAACTTCACATATGTTAGATACCTAATACCTACTGTACATCTTCAGAAAATGAATACTACAGATCAAAAGCTTTTCTTTACTAGGAACAGAAAACGAATGCCCTCTAACAGACATGAGGTGGAATCCAGGAAGCAATCATGAGATGGAAAGCTTTTAAAGGAGACCTAAGAATGCAATTCATTAAATGAAAGCTCGTGAAATAACTGCTTTGGAGAGCAACATGTGTTCAAAGGACTGTGAAGCTTTGCTCTGTGCATTTATGATGCACTTTAAGAGAAATCTACCATGTGCTCATTTTATGACATTACTAACACCTAATATAGTTCTGAAATAGGAAATCATCCTAGATAGTTTTCCTACAAACACAGACACACACATACATGTGCGTGCCTACACACAGTCTCTCTGTCTCTCTCTCTCTTTCTCATGCACACAACAGCAACAACACAGTTTGACTTTGAAATAAAAACAGTAGCAATAAATTTATCAATGGTTACAGCTAAATGATATAATTATAAAAGTCCTTATAATATAACCTAAAGTAAAATAAGTACTATATCAATTTAAGATAACCTTAATGTCTGAAGAAGTGTCATTAAGGAAGTGAATATAACAAAATTCTGCCATTCAAATCTTCTGAACTAATGTTAGTCATCATTTCATAAATAACACTGTCTTAAGTTTTTCCAAATTTAGTACTTACTGCTATGTTTGCAAAACTATAGTTTCACCACCTTAAGGTGTAACTTGTGTTTTTTTATTTTGTCTTCCTATAACAAACATACCTGCAATGCATATTCTTTAATGCCTAGCCTTGGTTGAAATAGAGCAAGTCTTACTTTTAAATAAGAGAATAAATATGGTTTTCTCATCTTTTCTCTCCAGAATATTTCAAGTAAGCATATATAAAAAACAAAACCACAAACTTCTTTGGCCAATGTTACAGGGCATTTTAAATCTTAAATGAGGTGTGTTGTAAAGTACAATGGCTATGATGGAGTGAAATAGAAAGGGGCCAAAGACATGCCCTGGGTCACAGGTCCCCAACAAAACAGCAGGACACAGTTCTCCAACATTCTGTCTCCTGAGCAGCAAAATCAACAACAACAACAACATCATGGCCACTGGTTCTTTTCAATCAGCACCAAGAGAAAGCAACATAGGGAACTCAGAGTCACAGAGAAACCTGTGCTTGTCGAAGCCAGCATGCTAGAGATCATGAATTCACACTGCCCTCCAGCTGCTGATCTCAGCACATAGACAGAGATATACTATGGCCCTGACTCTGACACACGTTTGTGAGGTGAGGCCTTCTGCTGCCTCTGACTGCAATTAGATACTCTTGTAATTTTAAAATTTACAAAATCCACGCAATAGAAGAGTTAGACATGTGTGAGAAAATCTGACATCTTGTGATTTTTTTTAACTCTGTTTTCTTTCACTTGCTTTGACATGTTGTCTTAGTTACTTTTCTATTGCTGTCATGAGATACCATAACCAAGGCAACTTATAAAGGAACATGGAGGCTTATAGTTCCAGAAGGTGAGTCCACGGCTATTATAGTGGGAAACATGGCAACTGACAGGCAGGCATGCAGGCATGCAGGCATGCAGGCATTGTTCTGGAGCAGTAGCTGAGAGCTCACATTGAGAAAAAACAGCCACATGGAAGAGCCAGAGAGCTAAGTGGGGATGGCATGGGTTTTTGAAACCTCAAAGCCAGAGACACTTCCTCCAACAGGGCCACACCTCCTGATCATTCCCAAACAGTTTCACCAACTGGGGGCCAAGCATTCATATATGAGCCTATGGGGGCCAATCTTAGTGAAGCTATCACACATGTATATTTATATTTATATATATGTATATGTATATTTATTGGTTTCATGAGGTAATTAATGTCTTGATGTGTAGCTCAGTCTGGTCTTGGATTTGTTGTCCTTCTTCCTGGGCCTCCCAATGCTGGGATTCTAGCGTACAAGGCCATGTCTGATTCTGACATGTATTTTGATAGTGGTTTCATCTGGTAATTCCCAAAAAACAATTTTCTTTGCATTCATTTTATTGATTATGCAACTTCATCAACTATGTATGTTTTATATTGTTATTTTGATAATAAAATGGACATTAAAAATCTGACATATGCAAAACAACTGACACACTAATCATTGAGCTGATGAATGCAGATTTGTACATGACCAACAAAGTGCCTCCCAACTGTGAGGAGTGAGTACAGTATGAGTGCATTACTTAAAAAAAGGAAGTAATGGTTGTTGTTATATTACAAAATTACTTTAAAAGTGAACTGTATTGTTCTTGTCCTTGTTGCCAATGAATGTACACTGAATGGCAAATTGAAGTACTAAAATTAAATCTATTGTTTCCTGTTGCCCAAGTATCATATTCTAGAAACTGCCCCTACTATGACTTGAGCTGTCTGTGAGACTTGCAGGTTATAGTCAAAGAAATGGTCATTTCTAAAGAGAAAGTGGAGTGGAAACAGTGAACAAACGATCATCTCAGGCACTTTATTCAATATCCTACCCTCCTTGTTACTCCATCTCTTTAGTTACTCCATCTCTTAACAGGGTTTAGATACTAGATAGTATTATGTGTTACTGCCCAGTGGATTTCGTGCACCTGACCATATTCATCCTGTCTGGAAGAAAGAGTGAAGATTTGGGGGGAAGCATCTGTTAACTGTTCACGAACATAACTTCTTGAATTTCTTCTGCATTTATTTCAAACCTTAATATTTAGTCTGCTTTAGAAATAAATTTATCTGCTGGCAAGCATGAATTTCCTCCTTATTCCTTTGCAGCCTGTTTGCTTGATAACTGCCAGCTTTGGAAACATGCCCAACAAACATTCTTCATGTGAACAAAGCCTGTTAACATGTTATGTAAGTATGAAAAATATGGCCTATGGAGCTAGCTGTTTTAAATTAGAATACTTCTTCCCCAATGACCTAGATTTTGCCTTTAGAAATCCAAGTCTGCCAGACTCACTGTGGCCTATAGGCTGAAGATGGATGCCCCAACATTACAGAGGAAATCTGGGTGATTGTCCAGGCAATGAGATGTCTCTGTCAGATCTAGAGTTTATATATTATCCTTCAGTGGTCTTTGATGGAGTTGAAGACAGATAGTTATGGTTATAGTTTTCTTTAGTTATTATAAAAGATAAGCTACATATAAGATTTTAGACTTACAAAGACAGGACAGATGATAGAATGTTTTCTTTAAATCTTGCTAAATGTTAATGAATTAAATATTATAACTATAGTTCTTACTTGATATCTGTTTTATTATATATTTTACTATGTTAATGGTAAAGCCCTTCTTTTTATTTAGACAGAAAAGAGGAGATGATGGGGGACGGCCTTCTCTGTATATGTCTGTCTTATTGGTTGATAAATAAAGCACTGTTTGCCAATAGGAAAGCAAGACATGTGGGACTAGGAGTCGAGGAGGATTCTGGGAAATGTTGTAGAGGGAGAGTTGCCATGTGAGCCAGGGAAGACAGGACACTTGCCACCGGCATCCTCAATAAGATAAGTTTATAAAATATAGTTTAATAGTTATGGTTGATACTTAAGACAGAGATAGCAATTGAAAAATCCTAGTCATTGGCCAACAGCATTGTACCTAATATTAATCTCTGTGTGTTATTTTGGGCACCCATTGGTGGTGGGGCTCGGGCAGCTTGGCAGAAAGATTTATCATTATACAACTTAAATACAATTGTTTTGCTACATCTTATTATATTAGAAGACTATTCTTTAAGGAGAGACCAAAAGGGAGTGGATCTGGAGGGGAGGGAAAGAAGGGAGGAACTACAAGGAAACTATAATCAGGATATATTGTATGAAAAAGGAATCTATTTTCAATAAAAGAAAACACATTTAAAATATACCTAATAGAAGTAGGAAAATGAAGACTTCGAGAGAGGTAGCTGAATGAGAATTTAGGAAAAGTAAAATTATATGGGCTTTAGAGTCTTGCATAGAAATTGGTGACCAAGTCTGTGGAAGTTTTGGGTTGTTCTATCCACTTGTGCCTGCACCTAGAACAACATAATTCATGTACCCAGACATCTACTAGCTTTATTAGATATTTAATATAAAATACATCAAAGCCTTCAAAATAAATAAAATTCACTTAACTTAAATCTCAATCTTCACCTATAAAATGAAAAATCACATCAATTATTTTATAATCATTAATATTTAACTTGATAAAATACTTTAGCACAACATTTACATGAGTAGAAATTCATACAGTTTTTGTGCTATTTTTAAAATATTTTAATTGACTGATTTTCACTTTATGTGATTCATGTTGACCTGGGAGCATGTATGTAAACTGTGTGTGTGTGCAGATGTTCACAGACGCCACAAGAAGGTGACAGATCCTATGGAACTGAAGCCACCCTATGTACATACTGAGAGCTAAAACCCGGTCCTCCACAAGATCAGCAAGTGCTCCTAAGCCTGGAGTCACCTCTCCAGCCCCCATTTCTTTTAAATAATCACGTTTCAGTGGCATTTTGATAACAGTATAGATAATTTTCACAATGCATTTTATTTCTGAATAAAATTCAGACAGTTTACTCTGATCATACTTTTCCGCTAACGCCAACTCCTCCCAGATTCTCCCCATCTCCCATCTCTCCATCTTACACAGTGATATATTTGTTTTAGTTAATGAACTTACATTGATACATTATTAACTAAAGTCTATACTATACTCAGATGATCTTAACAGTTTTGGGAAATATTGGTTATTTATTTTATAAAATGTTCTTCTAGTATGTTTTAGTTTTTTTTCTCAAAAATCAAAAAGCATTATGTTTTGTAAGAGGCAGAATACACAAGTACAGGACTGTTTACATGCCCTAATATCAAGGGTCCACACTATTCAC